ACTTGTGCCGGATATCATCGTGTAAAATGTATTAGCAATTGTCTGCTTCTTTCCCTCCACAAATTTGCAAATGCCAGTGATTAAAAATGGATTTTCCTCAACGTGACTGCTATCACGTTAATTGAATTCTCCAGTCATATTTCTTTAATACTAAAAATATAGAACCATGTTTGGATGCCATATCGTACGTTCTCCCTGTGAATAATTTCCAACAGTATGGAAACTCACATATGAGCAATGGCAACTTGAGTGAAACAATCAAGGTCAGTAGGACATATAGAACAACACTTCAGCACAAATCAGTACTTTGAAGAAGAAAGGAAGAATATATTCCTAAAATTTAGAGCATGAGTCAAGGACATAAAAACGCCAATCATTAAAGCATTTGTTTACATAATCTTAAATACATTTAACTCACTTTTGATGTTTTACATATTTCTATCCCATGTATTGTGTTCATCCGTATTAAATCTACTCGGCCACTTCCCTCACAATACTCTCCTGTATTTTAGCTAACCCTATACCCAGTAGAGGATTAAAAAACATCAACTGGTTTAGGTAGATGACCTGTCTCCACATTGCAACATGCTCCATAGAACTCAACTACCGTCAGTTAACTAGATATCTTTGAAACAGGACGTGAACAAAAACCTTCTGGACACCAGTTAAGTTAGATTGTAGACTTACACCAATTTATGTAATCTCAATGTTTCTGGTCATGATTTTCCTATTCCAAAACCTGGTAAAAAGTAAAGTCATCATAGTTCTATCAGACCAACACCATGCCTCAGGCAACAGGTGAGGGTGTGAAGGAGAATCGTTCATGATAACCCAATTCGGTGGAAGAACCTGAGACAACAAGGTGCAGGACTGGATGAACACAGCAGGCCAAGCAGCATCATAGGAGCAGAGAGGCTGACGTTTCGGGCCTAGACCCTTCATCAGACAAGGGGGAGGGGAAGGGCGTTCTGAAATAAATAGGGAGAGAGTGGGAGGCGGATAGAAGATGGATAGAGGAGAGGATAGGTGGAGAGGAAACAAACAGGTCGAAGAGGCGGGGATGGGGCCAGTAAAGGTGAGTGTAGGTGGGGAGTTAGGGAACCTACCAGGTTAGTCTAATAGTTATTCTGTCCAGTAGAAAACTTGGTCTAATGCACCTATATGTGCCTGGATTAGAATTTTCACCCTTCTTAAACATACAGATATTATATTAATCCATTCCTTAACATATTGCACATTATCCACTTAAATTGACTTTCATGATGATAGCCAATGCTGCACTCATCTTCCTAATCATTTCTTGAGGTCAATCACTCCTGCAAGCAAACCACATATGGTCCATGATGAGATATTTTTTAGTATCTGTTCGAATAATATTATGACTGTGGCATCAGTACATATACAAAAAATATTCCAGGTGTCATGTACTGCTATGCAACATGCATTTGCCTGTCTTCTGGAACAAGGCACTATAAACCATGAATGTTCAGAATAATTCACCGCAACATTCATGGCTAGTGTACTGTTACATTACGGGATACAGGACTTTTTAAATTGGGTGCACAAAGTTACTAAATGTACTCCCTGAGGGTATTAACTTCCACCACTAATCTACTCTTGATATAACAGAGGATTTTTTGTTCTCACATCTGCTTCCATTTTTTTTCATCATTTTTTCTTTTTTTGACCTGCTTCTCTATAACTTTGCACTCAAACAGTCATCGTTCCTCTACAGGATGTGTAATTATTTTTAGCACACCTATTGATCACTTCCCCACCGATCGAGAGTATTTTTCTTTCCATTCCCCAGCTGCACTTGCTCATTATGTTTCCGAAGAATTCCTTTCATTATCAATCTTATATATATTTTTTTTTTAAATGTACAAACATTATGTTAGCACATTAGATCCCCATTAAATCATTGTCTTCTATTCCCTACTGTTCTCCTGACCTCAGTATATTCAATAAAAATGTAGCTAAGTCAAGGGGTAGAACGTCCAAAGTACCACAGACATCTGTACTATGAACAGAACTATCTGCACAGTAACAACATGCTAATATTAAAATATAGGCAACAAATTTCACACCAGAATTGTATACTCCTGGTTATTACATGTTTATTTCCATGAAAAAGCATTTTGTTTGTATTTTGCCTCATTAGTTAGGCCCAACTCTTCTAGAGGTATGCAATAGGCACAGTAGACAAACTTGCAGCTGTTTCAAATTAAACTATGTTGATTACCTTTCCTGAATTCTCCACATATTAACTTACTAACTGAATCGCATGTAAATCCTAATGTTAATTACAGACAGACATCATTATGGGCTCAAGATGGGGCTGCCTAAGCTACTTATTTGGTTATAGAACATTGCACATAGCCAAAGAAATACTGTACTAAAGAAATGGTGAATGACTGATTATGAAGCTTTTTAGAAGGTTTAAACACTGCAGTAATTTTCTCATCAAAACAGTACAATGTACTGACTGATCAATGCACTATTCTACAGAGCAAAAGCATATATACCTCCATGCAAAATTAACCAATATCCAACTAAGGTAGCTGGAACCTGGTGGAAGTAATGGCTCATTGGTAAATCTAGGCTATATTACACAGCAGCCCTGGCAGAACTCTTATGTAATGTATTAGAAAATTGAAGAAAAAACCTCGAAGCAAGTTGGTTAGAAAATATCAAAGGGCTGAGCAACAGTTCCTTGTCATCACGGTACTTCAAGTTTATCCTTCTTCCCCACAAGCCACTGCACAGCTTCGTTTCAGACCTCACACGTATATCAAAAGGGCTCCAAGCCGTCACAACGTACACAACATTTCTCATTTGCACTAGGGCTTAGCTGTCACTTATAACAGGGAAGTGGATTTGAATGCAGGGCAATGTTCCAACTCACTGCATCACTCAGCCACAGATTGCCCCAGAAAAATAGCATACTTTCAAGAAGGAAAGTTTCATTCACAAAGCAGGATAAATACACCCTCAATTGACAATAAAGGGCTTAAATATTAATTAAATTTAATATTTAATTTAAACAAAATAAGTTACAGCTGTAATGCACAACAATCTAAGGTTCACATCTACCGTTCCTTACATGCTAATTCACTGATTTTTGTCACTTGGAGTAACAAAAATCAAAGTAAAGGTCAGTTAGTTCACGAGACAGAAGTAATTCAGAGGACACAACAGCTGTAGAGCATCAAGGTTAAGGGATAATTAGTCTGACCTACAGGGCTCTTGAGCACAGCAGTAGTGTCCCTACCTCAAGATCAGAAGGCCTGGGTTCATGTCCCACTTGCTCCAGAGGTGTGCAACAACATCTCTGAACAGGTTGATTAGGAAAGATAAGTTAAGAATTTATGAAAAAAGAGCAGATTCAGAGAAAGGTCTGCAGAACTCTGGGGGCTGAGACCAGCCTATGTACACCATGAGTAGTGGCTCTCTTTTGGCGTTCAACAATAAACACTGTTACTTTCCAGTTGGGTTTCCTGAGTCATTAAATAAAAAAACTCTTACCCAAGGGCCCTCTTGTGGTGCAGTGGAAGTGTCCCTACCCCTTGACCAGGAGCCCAGGTTCAAGTCCCACCTGCTCCAGAGGTATGCAATAAAATGGCTGAACAGGTTGTTTAGAAAAATAGGCTAAATAGACCCACTAACTAGAGAAGCGTCAAATTCAAATATTGCACCAGATTGAAGAAACTGCTGATAAATAATAAACATCTTAAAATCAGGTTTGATAGAGGGTGCACATGGCATTGATGCAGGAAAACAAAATGTCAAATGAATTATGTATATGTAAACCACTTCAATGAGCTCAACACAAGATTTTTTTAGTAAACTATACTTGCTTTAAGATTCAGAAATATGAATAATTTTCAAAAGGAATATACTTAGGAGAAAATACCAACTTCAATCTGCCTTCACATATACAAAGTGTCTTTAGAAATGCTGCAGGGCTCAGAATGGCCCTAATCAGATGAGGTAAATTGAAACGACAACCACACAGGTGCAAAAAAAAACCTGATGAACTTGTCTCACAGGAGACAGAAATGGAAAACAAAAAAAAAACTAGCAACAGAAGACCGCCAAAGGCTAACTTGCATTTCACAGTCTAAATTATACATCATACAGAAGATTAAATATCAACAGGAGCCACAGCAGTAAATGCCTCAACAAAACACAGATTATTTTAACAGACACCAAGAGAAACAAATTTTGCTCTTGAAACCAAAAGTCAGGAAAAGATCAAGAGCGTTAAATGTCTTAAGCTTTCAGCAGATGATGAATGTGATCCAAGAGGAACGTTAAAACTATTGTTCTTTTGACGATCTGTACAATCCTGGCATTTTATGTTTTGGATTTAAATTTTTCACCATTCACAATTATTTCACGTCACTTTGCCATTGTTTACTTTGAACACTCATTCTGAAAATTATTTATTTCTATTCTGTTCTAGGATTGAATTAAATCTTCAACTTCAAAGCACGTAAGAAATGTTAAGAGAAAGCAGAGTTATCGTTTCAGGTCCAATGATCCAAAGGGTCACTGGACCCAAAATGTTAATTCTGCTTTCTCTCTTCAGATGCTGAGGAAGCCCAGCAGTTCTGGCAGCAATTTCCATTTTTGTTTCAGATTTCCAGCATCCACAGTTGTTCTGTGAAAAAAAACAAAGAAATGTATTGGTTCACTTCCTCTGCATTATTGGAAGTGACCACAAAGACACCCCATAAAAGTATTTGTGGTAAATTCCAAAACTTCTTCACATCTACATCAGCTACATCTGTCTGTAAGGAAGAAGTACAGAAAGGGCAAATAAATCCAAGGCTTATATGCTAATTATTACCTTATATCCAGAGTGCTAAAGTAAAGACAATCTACTGGCCTCAGTTAGGTTATGAAGTTGAGCTATTTTTTTAAAACTGAAGTACATTAGCATCAAAAATATACTATGTTTACTATGTTGTATCAGCAAGGATAGAAAGTCAGCTTACCTCCATCGCCAGGGCTGCAGTTTGCTGGTCATAGTGATTCAGGAGATTTGGCATAAATGTCATATTGTAAGGCAGATCACGGCACATTCTCAGGGAAATGGGTTCACAGGCAAACATACTGTGGCCACCACCCAGTCCCAAATGCGCAGACAACGCACAAAGTGTCCACAACATCTCTCCGACAGTCACAGCCATGATAGCAATATTCAACACTAAATACTGCTTTACTTGCTGACAGGTGGAAGACAAACAGGTTTGCTGATTGAATGTTTGTGTTTTTTAAATCTCCTTTGTTAGCTTGCTCAAGCCACCATTCACTTGAACACTCTGAAACTTGATCTGACCTCTCTTTCAGTCATGGCTTTCTGGATCTCATCAAAAGCAGTTCTCAGCATTTTTCTCTTTACACAGAAAATAATTTTGCTTCCTTAACAGACCACTAAAATTAGGTTCTGGCATTCAACAGCTTTATTTGGTTGTCCATGTGACAATCGATTAATTGACCACATTCCCACACAATGTCTCCCATTCTGTTCCAGAAGATTCTTCCCCAAATTCCAGGGCATTCTTGTGACCTATAAAGGGAACAGTGAACCGAGCAAGAGAGTTACCAGAGGTGTTTCATGTTCTGCACCGAACAAGAGAGTTACCAGAGGTGTTTCATGTTCTGCTTATATTTAACAATTCCCCTCCCTCTGTAGAATGGCCTACATGCTCTGGTACCCAACACAAGGAACCAACTTCTTTGTGCAAGTATCTTTGATTACATCAGACAGGTTATTTGAAATGGACAGTGCGAAAGCACCAGTCTGCATCTACACTGAACATACCTAAACACATACTTTCAGCAGGAGCTGCTCAATGATAATCAAAATACCAATCACCAATGGCAATGTGGCGGGATAGTGGTACAGCTACTGATCCAGCAATCCAGAATTTTCTAAGAAAACGGGTTTCAATTCCACTATGGCAGATGATGAGACTTGAATTCAATAAAAAAAGACTAAAAAACTAGTCTAATGGTGACCAGGTAATATTGTCGATTATAGTGAACTAGATGGGCTTTTACAAATGTCCTTTAAGGAAAGTAACCTTATCTTGTTTACATGGGACTCCAGATCCACAGTCATGAGGTTAACTATTAACTGCTCCATTGGACAGGCAATAAATGCTGGACTAGCCAGTGACATGCATATCCCACGAACAAATAATAAAGAAGAAAATCATACTGATGAAGATCACTTAAAGCTAACCACACTGCCTCTATTGTAATATGAGGATGAATAAAAACTAAGGATCTAATTAAGTGGCTTAGATTTTTACATAATATTTGAGCTAGAAACACTCCATAATAAAGGCATGAGCAAACAGTGGAATCAAGTTTTTACCAGAAGCCCCAAAATCTCAGTGTTTATTTCAAATAAACATTTTATACACCTGCTTCTGCATTTTCACTTCATTTGATACAGGATTTAAGAAATAAATATCACATTTCCTCTATTTGCAACAATAAAATGGTACACAAAGACAAAAGAACATGCATTAAGCCCAGTGTTCCCACCCTAGAGCCAGGAGAACCCAGGTCCAAGTCCCACCTGGTCCTGAAGAGCTTATTTAAAAATATCTACTCTGAGAAGCTCCTGCACTGCTGTTCTGGGGTTTAAATGAATGACCTCCAACCAGCAGAAATTTCCCCAAAACCCAACGAGTTTAGTTTTGTTAAGGCTCTTGATGCCATACAAGTGAAATGCTACCTTGATGTCAAACAGTATCACTTGACCTATAGAGTCAGCACTTTTGTTCGTGTTTGAACCGAGGCTGTAATGAGGTCAAAATAGCCATGATGTAACCTAAACTGAGTGTCAGTGAGTAGGTTATTCTTTTGCAACAGCTGCTTGTTAACACTGTCAACTACCTCTTCTATCACCTTGGAGATGATTGAGATGAGACTAAGGATGGTTTGAATTCGTCCTGCTTTGTATGTACAGGGCATATCTGGGCAATTATCCATTTTGGCAGTGCTGTAGCTTTTTGGAACAGATTGGTTAGGGCATTGCTAGTACTGGATCACAAGTCCACCATACTGTTGCTGGAACATCGTCAAAGGATGCAGTATCCAGTGCTTTCAGCCATTTCTTCATATCACACAAAATTAATTGCATTGGTTTAAGTCTGGCATCTATAATGTTGGGAACCTCAGCTGGAGACAAAGATGGATCATTCACTTGGCTCTTCTGGCTAAAGAAGAATACAAATACTTCAGCCTTATCTTTTGCACTGATGTCCTGAGTTGAAGACTGGATACAAATGGAGCCTCTTCCTCCTGTTGTTAATTATCCACAACTGTTTATACTGGTTACAGCATGACTGTACAGTTCGACTTTGATCTATTGGTTATGGATAGCTTAGCCTGGCTGTTGCATGCTGCTTCGGTTGTTTGAAATGCAAATTGTCTTACTGTAACTTTATTAAGTTGTCACCTCATTTTTAGATCAGCAAGCTATGTTCCTGGCATGCCTTTCTGCACTCTTTATTGAACCAGGATTGATCTTACAGCATTGATGGTAATAGTAGTGTTGGGGACATACCAGGCATGAGGTTACAGACTGAAGTTGAATACAATTCTGCTCTTGCTGTGATTGATCACCTGCAATGCTTCATGGATGCCCAGTTTTGAGATGCAAGATCTGTTCAAAGTACAGTGGTAGTGCCTTAAAATATGATGATGTCCTTAATGAAGATGGGACTGTGCGGTATAATGTGTACTGGCACAATCTAGCAACTATGTCCTTTAAATTCAGCCAGCTCAGTCAGTTGTGGTGCTACGAAGCTACACTTGGTGACGGTACAGTGAAGTCCTTCATCCAGAGTACATTTTGTGGCCTTGGTTCAGTGCTTCTTCCAAGTGGTGTGCAACATGGACTTGCACTGATTCTTCAGCTGAGGAGGAATGGTAGGTAGTAATCAAAAAGAAATTTCCTTGCACATATTAGACCTGATGCTATGAAAATTCACAGGCTCCACAGTCAGTATCAAAGGCTCCCAGGAGAGCTCCAGTCCGATTGTACCCCAATTGTGAAGCCTCTACTGACAGATCCATCCTACCAGTGAGACAGGGTATACCCAGTGATGGTGATGGCTGGGTCAGGGTTGTATTTGTCATCGGTGTTTCTGATGCCTATGTCAATGCTGGATTCATTTTTTTTTAAAAAAACATTGAGGAACTTGCTAGGACATTTAAGGAAATGTTGTGTAAACCACATTGCTGAGAAGCTGGAGGTTTATACAGGCCAGACCTGGTACGCATAGCAAATTTCCTTCCCTAAAGAAGGAGTGAACAAGACCTGTTTTTACAACAATAGGCAATGGCTACAAATTCACCATTAGACTAGTTTTTTTTAAAAAATAAATTCTATATTTTATACAATTCAAGTTTTACCATCTGCCATGGTGGGATTTGGACTCATGTCTCCAGAATATTACACTGATGGTATGGATTACTAGTCCAGTGACATTACCAGCAAGCCAACTCCTCTCCATTTGTAGTAGCTTTTATTTATCTCTCCCCACCACAACAGTCCCAAGTACCTTGTCTGACACCAGTACACATTTGTAAAATTAGTCAGTTATCTCAAAGCTGCAATTGCTATCTCAATGAAAGATCCTATTTCAGACAGCACAGAGCAACAAAGAAAAGGTAATGCCGTAATATAGGTCACTCTTCGTCGTGGCTAAACTGGTTAAAATGCTGCATCAGACATTACAGGTATCTTAATAAGCTTTCTGGAAGTAGCATCACAGCAGCATCAAGCATACCTGCAGCATTGTGTATGTGAAGTCTTCCTGTAGCATCTGCAAAAGTAAGATTTAGATCATGTTATTCGGTGTGCCATTGGTCACGTTTGAATGAAAACAAACTCACACTACAAAACCAAAGTGTGCAGATGCTGGAAATTTTAAATAGAAACACAAAATGACAGAAGCACACTGCAGGTCTGCCATTATCTACGTACACAGAAACAGGATTAATTTTGCAGTTCTGGTCACAAATGCAGAACAGTCACAATACATTTGGTTTTGTCAGATAATTCAGTTGGCCTGCGCATCACAATTGACTGCAGCTAAGAAATTTGCTGCAATCACTTTCATAACTCTGTGGTGAATAAATATTGATAGCAATTGACACTGCAGCATTGGATATGAATTCAATGATCAGTCATGGTTCAGATGTTACCACTCTTGCCTCTGAAACAAAAGGTTGTGGATTCAATTCCCATTCTAAGTAATTGAACACAAAAGGGGAGGCTGATGTGCTAATGCAGAAGTGAGGAAATGCTGCCTGGTCAGACGGTCATCTTTTGAGTAAGTTGTTAAACAGACACCATCTTTTTTGTCAGTTGGATATGCAAAATCACATTGTACTATCTTTCTCAAGAAGCAGTGGGAGTTCTCCCTTTGATGACCTGGCAAACATTTACTTTTCAATAAAAATCACACAAATAAACAGAGCATCTGGTCATCATCACATTGCATATGGGTGAAGCTTGCTGTATGTAAATCAGCTACCTACTTTCCTACATTATAGTTACTCCATTTCAAATGTACTTCCCTAGCTGTAAAGTGCATGGAACATCTTGAGGTCATGAAAGATGCTACATATAAACATTTCCTTTTCACATAACTAAATAACCAGAAATAAAATTTCAACTGAAACAGTGTTCAGTTATCAGCAGACTCATTTTCCTTGTACAGCACCACAAATCAAAAATGAGACCAAAATGGTTGTTGAAATTAAAAATTACAGCAACAATCTTAGAAGAGCTCAAATTGTCTTTGTACCCTTTGAATTTTGGTTTAAAACCTGCTTGACAGCTTCCCTTAAACACAGATGAACCTGCTTTACAATTTTGGTTATGTTTACAAACAATTATAGAGATACAGTATACGGTCATTCATATAGATCTTTCATTTTCCATGTACAATTCAATGAGCTTACACCCAACTGTTTTAAAGATCTCTCTGCAAGATAAAGAAAAAGGATGCATTTATCAAGGCTAGGAGGCTGGGAACACACGAAGCAAGGGTGGAATACAAGAAAAGTCGAAAGAAACTTTAGCAAGGAGTCAGGAGGGCTAAAAGGGATCATGAAAAGTCATTGGCCAACAAGATTAAGGAAAATCCCAAGGGTAGCCAGGCAGAGGGTTGGCCCACTCAAGAACAGGGAAGGGAACTTATGTGTGAAGCCAGAGGAAATGGGCAAGGTATTAAATGAGTACTTTGCGTCAGTATTCACAATAGAGAAGGACTTGGTGGATGATGAGTCTGGGGAAGGGTGTGTAGATAGCTTGGGCCATGTTGAGATCAAAAGGGAGGAGGGTCTTGGAAAAACATTAAGGTAGACAAGTCCCCAGGGCCTGATGGGATATACTCCAGAATACTGAGAGGGGCAAGGGAGGAAAATTGCTGGGGCCTTGAGGGAAATCTTTGTATCCTCACTGGCTACAGGGGAGGTCCCAGCAGATTGGAGAATAGCCAATGTTGCTTATTTGTTTAAGAAGGGTGCCAAGGATAATCCAGCTAATTTCAGGCCGGTGAGCCTTACGTGAGTGGTAGGGAAATTATTGGAGAGGATTCTTCGAGACAGGATTTACTCCCACTTGGAAATCAGTGGGCCTATTAGTGAGAGGCAACATGGTTTTGTGAAGGAGAGGTCATGTCTCACTAACTTGGTTGAGTTTTTTTGAGGAAGTGCTGAAGATGATCACAGGGGAGGGTAGCGGATGCCGTCTACATGAACTTCAATAAGGCCTTTGACAAGGTCCCTCATGGCAGGCTGATACCGAAGGTAAACTCGCATGGGGTCAGAGGTGAGCTTGCAAGATGGATGAAAAAAATGGCTCGAAGACAGAGGGTAGCAGTGGAAGGGTGCGTTTCTCAATGGAGGGCTGTGACTAGTGGCGTTCCTCAGGAATCACTGTTGGGACCTCTGCTGTTTGTAATACATATAAATGATTTGGAGGAAAATGTAACTCGTCTGATTAGTAAGTTTGCCGATGACACAAAGGTCGGTGGAATTGTGGATACTGATGAGGACCGTCAAAAGATACATCTGGATATAGATCGGTTGGTGACTAGGGTACTGAGATGGCAGATGGAGTTTAATCTGGAAAAATGTGAGGTCATGCATTTTGGAAAGTCCAATCCAGATGGAAAATATACAGTAAATGGCAGAACCATTAAAAGTACTGATAGGCAGAGGGATCTGGCTGTACAGGTACACAGGTCACTGAAAGTGGCAATGCAAGTAGAGGAGGTAGTCAACAAGGCATACGGCATGCTTGCCTTCATCGGCTAGGGCACTGAGTTTAAAAATTGGCAGGTAATGTTGCAGCTTTATAGAACCTTAATTAGGCCGCATTTAGAATATTGTGTTCAATTCTGGCTGCCACACTACCAGAAGGATGTGGTGGCTTTGGAGAGGGTACAGAAGAGATTTACCAGGATGTTGCCTGGTATGGAGGGCATTAGCTATCAGGAGAGGTTGGAGAAACTTGGGTTGTTCTCACTGGATCGACGGAGGTTGAGGGGTGACCTGATACAGGTCTACAAGATTACGAAGGGTGTGGACAGTCAGTAGCTTTTTCCCAGGGTAGAAGAATCCGTTACCAGGGGCCATAGGTTTAAGGTGCGAGGGGCAAGGTTTAAAGGTGATGTACAAGGCAAGTTTTTTTTACGCCAAGGGTGGTGGGTGCCTGGAACTCACTGCCGGGGGAGGAAGTGGAAGTAGATACTATAGTGACTTTTAAAGGGCGTCTTGACAAATACATGAATAATGGGAATAGAGGAATACGGTCCCCAGAAGGGTAGGGGGTTTTAGTTGTGACGGACAGCATGTTGGTGCAGGCTTGGAGGGCTGAAGGGCCTGTTCCTATGCTGTAATCTTCTTTGCTCTTTGTTCTATACATGTTTCATAAACTGAGTTGCAGGCACCTTATTATCTGGCCATTTGAAAGTCATTCTTTGGCAGTGGAGTGATTAGAAATAACCAATAACTTAAAAAGTATAAGAAAAAACAACTGCACTCTAATCTGAAAACTAAACTGCAGCAAGATAGTGTGCATTTCCTTCTCCCTCTCCAACCTGCGACGGACTAAGATCCAATTCACGAGGTTTAGAGATTCCACTTCTGGCAATTGAGTAAATAATAATCTTCCATTTTAAATAGAGTAAGTCAACTTTGTAAGATTAATACAGTGAAACATGTCACAATGTTTCAAAAATAAAATAAGGTGGATAAACGATACATGAAAATGTCAAGATGAGTATGGAACTGAGTATTCTAAAATCAATATACTGGGGTACAGGCAGCAAACAGAACCCGCTGACCCTGGGTTGATAGCTGAATGAGGTTTATATGGAATAGAATGCAACTGGACAGTATTGCACAAGTTGGAGCTCATGTATAATTCTTGTAAAAAATAGTGGATAATTTTAGATGGCAAAAGTGCAAGCAACGATTTCATCAGTGAGGGTGTGGATGACATAGGAAATCTATCAGGGATAATACTTGCCAGTTTCAGTAATGTCCTTGATGTGCATGACTAAGATTCATGACAAAGAGTTGCACAGACTCTTGATGAGAGGGAATGTGTGATCATTCTAAGGAGAAGAGTTATCCCTGGTGTCCTGGCCAATATTTACTTATCAATTATCACAAAAACATACCTGATCATTAACATGTTGCTGCTTATAGGAGTTGGTCATGTGCAAAAAGACCTGCACATTTCACAAAATTATGGTGATTACACTTCAAAAGCACTCCGTTAGTTGCAAAGCAGTTTGAGACATCTAAGGTCAATGACACTGTAAGTGCTAAGTTCTTTTGTACATCTACCAATGGTACTAATATAAAAGTACAAAATATTACAAATATAATTGATAAAGGGGATATACCTTTGACGAGGATCCCCACTGGAGTTTGGTTAGCAAAATTAAAACATACATGATAGGAAGTAACGTATGACATGGCTTAAGGATTGGCTCACAGGCATTAAATAGAGTATAGGAATGTACAGGTCATTTACTTGTGTGACTATTGGGGGTACCGTGAGGATCAGTACTTGGACCCAGCTGTTCACAATACATACCAATGATTTGGATGTAGGGACCAAGTGTTAATATCCCCTGTTCACGGATGAAACAAAACTAGGTGGAAATGTTTGCTGTGAGGAAGATGTAAAGTAGCTGAAAAGGATTTGGACAGGTTTGGTCAGTGGAATGACTATCCTTGATTACTCCACGTCTTTCTAAGTGACTGTTTATACTGTGTCTCAAAATTAATTTCAATATTTTTCCCACTACCAAAGTTAAATGACTGGGCTGTAACTATTTGGACGATGCTTCATTCCATTTTTGAGATGCAACATTAACATTCCCTCAATCTTCCAGCACATTTGAATGAGTAGGATTGGAAAATGGTCAGAGCATTGCTATTCCTCCCTGATTTCTTCCAATACTTGGGGATATAGTTCATCCGGCTCCAGTAATCTACCACTTTGAGGGATTCTATTCCCTTATATACTTTCTCTCTCCCACGTTTATCACAACCAACATTTCACCCACCTCCTTAATTACAATGTTTGCATCGACCACTCCTTTCTTGCAGACAGACTCAAACTATTCATTAAAAGCCATACCTACATCAATACATCTACATACAGATTACCTTTTGGAACTTTTATGAACTGTACACTTTATTTAGTTATCCTCTTACTCTTAATGTATTCATGAGACATCTTTGTGTTCTTCTTGATTTTACTTGCCAATACTCTGACGAACAGTACTTGCTTTTTATTTCCATTTCACCCCTGCAATTTTTGACTTTTCTTTGGAACACAGAAGTCATATTGGATTTGAAACATTAACTCGTTTCCCTTTTAACATATATGATCAGACCTGCTGTTTTTCTCCAGCACTTCCTGTTGCTATTTTAGAACAGAGTTTAAGTTCTATCTCAGCTTTAACATTGTTCTATCTTAATGTTAGTTATGGAAAACAGCAAATTGAATTAGGATCATTACCACCAAAATGGTCTTCCACTGCCACTCATTCCACCTGCCCAGCTTCATTTTAAAATTAAGTCCAGAAGCACAACCTCGTTTGTTGGACTTGCTATACACCAGCTCAAAGGTTCTCCTGAATGCACTTCGAGAATTTTGTACTCTCACTCTTTTTACATTAAAACTATCCAAGTTAACACTAGGGTAGTTAAAAATTCCTTACCATTACCGCTTTCTTCTTTTTACACCCAAGAAATCTGTCTACATTTTCCCCTCTATCTCCCCTTGACTGCTTAGGGGTCTATAGTAACAGCTCCCTTTTTTTTATTCTTTGGTTCAATCCATTTGGCCTTATTTGAAGATCTCTATAGTATATCATCTCTGCTCAATCTGTAGTTGTTTCTTCGATTAAAAGCATCAGCAATCCCCTTCTCTTTTAATTCCCTGCTCTATTACATCTGAAAACCATGAAGCCAGGTATGCTGTGCTCCCATTCCTATTTCTGTTTGAATCATGTTTCTGTAATAATTAAGATATCACACTGCCTTGCTACTATCTATGCCATCACCTCTCCTGCTTTATTTGTTAGACTCCTTACATTGAACCATACATCTTTGAGGGCTGCCAAATCTTTTGTTTTTCTAACCTTCATGTCCTCTGCCTTACAGATTCAATCAATAAGTTTCTACCTTCCATTTCCAATTCTGCTCCATCAAAATTCAAATCACAATTGCCTCCACTACCAAACTAGTCTACATTCTGCCCAACCATATCAACAAATCTCCTACAGGGACAGCTGTCCAAGTCCAGTTGAGGTGCAATCTATCATACTTGTATAGGTCCCACCGCTCAGGGATCAAAAGCCCTCACTCCTATCAACCACATCAACCATTCATCTGCTCCCCGGTCTAGGCTCACTAGTGGGTGGTATTGAGAGTAATATAAAAATTACTACCTCCAATGTCCTGCTTTCGAAATACTTTCCCAACTCTTCACCTCTGCCCACAGGAGCTGACCTATTTTTCTACCCCTATTGTTGATAACAACACAGACCACAACCTCTGGCTTTTCATCTCCCATCTGAAGGTTCTGTAGCCACTCTGCAATAGCAGAAACACCTGTCTGTCCCCACAGACACAGAACCACCTATCACTACTGCCATTCATTCTGTGTTCACTTAACTAATTTCTTCAACCCACTGGCCTCTGCTTAATCAATAGCAAGATCTATATGCAAACTGAGGGACTGGTGTACAAAAAAGACTGACAGAACAAATATATTACCATGACATTTGCAGTTACAGGCACAGCATCACTTGCTAAGTGTTTCCAGGGTTTTCTGTCTGTATTCCAGATTCCCAACATCTGCAACATCCATTTTTTTATTGTCTCACAGCTCCCTGCGCTTCAAAAATTTCTAATATTATTTTAAATGCACTTAAAAGTAAAACGTAGAGATAAGAAGATTTCTTTTTAAGAAAGGAAATTAAATACAAAAGAAACATTGGAAAATAATAATCTTGCTGATTAATAAAATAAATCTAGGTAACATCCAGCTCGGGGATACACAATGAATGAAGCCCGGAATGCGAGCTGGATAGAAACGGAGCAGGTCGAAGCTTTGCTCACCGCAAGCTCAGCAAGAGAGGATGCGCAGACATGTACACAAAGTAACAAAGATTAAAAGCCATCACAGCAGGGATACACAGCCATTCAAGACATAAGAGAGAAAGCCCGGGGACTGAGCATATTTAAGCAGAAGCCGGTTGGAACTGGGTGTTATTCTGGTGGTGGTGGGTGTGGGCCCGAGCCCCCGGTTGGGGTGGAGGGGGTGAGTGGTGAAGAGAGAGTGACTCCCACTCCAAGGGGGACGGGAGAAAGGCGGCGCTGTCCAACCTACTACCCCCGTAGGATCCAGCGCCCCGCCGCAATCTCACAGCCGTCGCGTATATCGGCCTTATCATTGCCCGATCTGCATCATCAAACGAACCCTCACCTCTCACCAGTCACCGCCAACCGATCTCCATCCCGACCGTTCGGCGGCAGCACCACGCCTCCGACACGAGGCCTGATTGGCTGCCGGGAGGCGACGAATAGTGAGCGACGATGCTCATTGCCCCGGCAACGCGTACCACCACCTCTGGCCCCGTGACACTCAAGGAGCGACTGTATTGGCCAGGCGGCCAATGGCGGCGGTGAAGACGGCGTGGGAGGCTGTTGCCATAGAAACCGAGTGAGGCCAAACCGGAGATGGCGCCTGTCGCTGAGAGGAGGTGAGAAAAAGGCAGCAACATTGTGGCCTGAAGTAATCCGAGGTCCAGCTTAGTGCCGGCGAATAATGGAGTAGCAATTATGCACCCAAACTGGTATCCCAAAGTGTGGATCTGACCCCGTTGATTTCGAGCCGGTATAGAGGTGTGGGGTGGTAAGGGGAGAGTTGTTATCTATAAAATTGTTGCGGGCTCCTTTTCCTTTATTGTGCTGACTATTGTCTGCACCCAACCGCGCCTAGATACTCTAAGGTGTTCGATGGCTAGAGTGTCCCGTCTCCCCGACTTTCAGAAGGTCACTACTGCCTTTTGGATGGGTTTGAAACAGCCTCTCTTTTCATTCTTTAGTGGGATGTGGGCGTCCTGGTTCAGCATTTGTTACCCACTCCTAACAGACCAAGAACTGAGTAGCTTGCTCAGCCATTTCAGAGAAGTTAATAGTCATCCACATTGCTGTGGATATGGAGTCACATGTCTGTCAGACCAGGTTAGATGGTCAGATTCAGTTTTTATTATGACTATCAGTGACAGTTTTTTAAAAAAATATTATTATTGAGACTAGCTTTCAGTTCCAAATTTCATTTGATTTTCATCTCTCACCAGCTGAGAAATTTGAATACAGCCTCAGAGCATTGGTCTGAGCCTCAGGGATTCTAGTCAAGTAGGTGGATGGAGGGAATGTTAAAGATGCTGGATGGGGTGTCAGTCAAACAGGATGCTATGTACTGAATGGTATTGATCTTATTGGATGTTGTTGGAGGGGCATCCATCCAGGCAAGTGGAGAATATTCCAACACACTCCTGACTACTGCCTTGTAGATGGTGGACAGGCATTGGGGAGACAGGAGGTGAGTTACTCACCACAGAATTCCTAGCCTTTGACTTACTCTCGTAGCCACAATTTTTATATGGCTGATGCAGTTCAGGTTTGGTCAATGGTAACCCAAAATATTGACAGAAGGAGATTCAATCATAGTATTGCCATTGTATGTAAAGGAGCTATGGAGCTAAGGATTGATAAGTCTCCTGGCCCTGATGGAATGCATCCCAGGGTACTAAAAGAGATGGCGGGAGAAATAGCAGGTGCACTGGCGGTAATTTTCCAAAATTCGCTGGACTCTGGGGCAGTCCCAGCAGATTGGAAAACAGCAAATGTGACGCCACTGTTTAAAAAGGGAAGTAGACAAAAGATGGGGAATTATAGACCGGTTAGCTTAACCTCTGTAGTGGGGAAGATGCTTGAGTCTATTATCAAGGAAGAAATAGCAAGGCATCTTGATAGAAATTGTCCCGTTGGGCAGACGCAGCATGGGTTCATGAAGGGCTGGTCATGCTTGACAAATCTTTTGGAATTCTATGAAGACATTACGAGCAAGGTGGACAATGGGGACCCAGTGGATGTGGTGTACCTAGATTTCCAAAAGGTCTTCGAAAAGGTGCCGCACAAGAGGCTACTGCATAAGATAAGGATGCATGGCATTAAGGGTAAAGTATTAGCATGGATAGAGGATTGGTTGACTAACAGGAAGCAAAGAGTGGGGATAAATGAGTGCTATTCTAGCTGGCAGTCAGTGACTAGTGGTGTGCCTCTGGGATCGGTGTTGGGATCGCAATTATTTACAATTTATATAGATGATTTGGAGTTGGGGACCACGTGTAGGGTGTCAAAGTTTGCAGATGACACTAAGATAAGTGGCAGAGCAAAGTGTGCGGAGGACTGTGAAACTTTGCAGAGGAACATAGATACATTGAGTGAGTGGGCAAAGATCTGGCAGATGGAATACAATGTAAATAAATGTGAAGTCATACATTTTGGTAGCAGTAATAGTAAAAAGAATTATTACTTGAATGGTAAAAAGTTGCAGCATGCTGCTGTGCAGAGGAACCTGGGTGTCCTTGTGCATGAATCACAGAAGGTAGGTCTGCAGGTACAACAAGTAATTAGGAAGGCAAATGGAATTTTGTCCTTCATTGCTAAAGGAATTGCGATTAAAAGCAGAGAGGTTATGTTGCAGCTGTACAAGGTGCTGGTGAGGCCATACCTGGAGTACTGTGTGCAGTTTTGGTCTCCTTACTTGAGAAAGGATGTACGGGCACTGGAGGGGGTGCAAAGGAGGTTCACTAGGTTGATTCCGGAGTTGAGGGGGTTGGCTTATGAGGAGACTGAGTAGATTGGGATTATATTCATTGGAATTCAGAAGATTGAAGGGGGATCTTATAGAAACATATAAAATTATGAAGGGAATAGATAAGATAGAAGTAGAGAGGATGTTTCCACTGGCAGGTGAAGCTAAGACAAGAGGGCATAGCCTCAAGATTAAAGGGAGCAGATTTAGGACTGAATTGAGAAGGAACTTCTTCACCCAGAGGGTTGTTAATCTATGGAATTCCCTGCCCAGTGAAGTAGTTGACGCTACTTCAGTAAACGTTTTTAAAGATAAGGTAGATATTTTTTTTGAACAATAAAGGAATTAAGGGATACGGTGAGAACGCGGGTAAGTGGATCTGAGTCCACGAAAAGATCAGCCATGATCTTATTGAATGGCGGAGCAGGCTCAAAGGGCCGGACGGCCTACTCCTGCTCCTAGTTCTTATGTTCTAGAGTCGCCCCTGCTGGAGACGGTTGCCTGGCACTTGTACAGCACAAATGTCACTTGCTTGTTATCAGCACAAACTTGAATTTTATCCAGGCCTTGCTGCTGTCGGACTCCATTAGTATCTGAGGAATTGCAAATACTGCTGAACATTGTACAATCAATAACAAACATCCCCACTTCTGACTATATGCTGGTGGGAAGATCAATGATGAAGCAGCTGAAGATGGTTGGATTTAGGACACTACCCTGAGCTCTTGTGACACAGTGGTGTCACAAGAGTTAGGAGTGCCTCAGCTCAAGTCCTAGTTCAAATGTGTGTCATCACATATTTGAACAAATTGAATAGAAGTATCTATCCTGAAGAACTTCTGCAGGGATGACCTGGAACAGACATGACTAACCTCCAGCAACCACAACCATCTGGTAAATTAGGCCAATTGACACACAGTTGCCTGAGTCATAATCATTGGCTGTTGGTTAGATGATGACATGGTTTAGGCATTGTTGTTTTGCCTTTTACATTCCAGTTGAATTGAGTGACTCTGCACCAGGAAGAAGAACAATTACCAACAGTTGATTCCAAAATGGCATTTGCACCATCCAAGATCATGAATGGGCCTAAAATGCAGACTAAGATGAGCACGTGGACACCCCTGAACCACCAGCCCACTAATGACAAGGCAAGGGAATGTGACTTTATATTACCACGGAGAAATGTTTTTTTAATAACCGTATTAAATAGGCTGTAGGGTACATTTTTTGTTCCATGTCTATTCTGTGAGTTGGCTTATTATGATGGCAGTAACTGGCAGTAGATAGGAGGTGATCAGACAAATTATTCTTATTTAATTCTCATGTAACACGGGAAGGTGCTGCCAGGAAAGAATGATAGTTTTCTATTATATTCTTTCTAACTAACCTGATTGACATACAACTTCATCCAAATGTATTAAATGGAAAAGGTTTTGTTAAGCACATTTTGACTTAAATTCTCTTCTAAGCATGAGCAGTATTTAAAATTGAATTTAAGAGAAAGCATTCCTTAATTCTCTCACTGTCAGTTGTTACACATAAGATTTCGTTTGCTTTATACAAAATTAAAACAGAGGATTGTAATGATCTAGGTACAGATCCATGACAATGTAAACCTTAAGCCCTAATGCTTGGCTGATGAATCAAAACAGATGTTCCTTCTGTTACTCATAATAAGCAAAGTACATACCATTCTCAACCAGCCATTCTTGCAAGACCCAAAAGAAAAGTTGGCTGTTAGATGTGGTTCTGCTTCTAGGTAACACTTGCTGAACAATCCTGAATGTGTGAATTGTTACCAGGTTGATAACTTCTTAGGACAAATGATGAGTAATTCGCTGAAGCAGTGATTGGTGTGAGATGGTGGTGGTGGGTATGGAGGAGTGATGCCAGTGGTGGTGAAATGGAAGGGGTAATGCTGATGAGGCCAAATGTGTTGGTGTGGGATCTCTGACATCCTCGAACCTGCCCAGGACCCCCAAAATGGTAATGATAAATGCCCACCTCCTTCCCCCTCCCATCTTCCCAGACATTTCTTCCCTACTCAGGTATGCCCAGGTGTGACTAGACCTCCACTCTCTCTTGGGTTTTCTTGAACTCTTATCACTTTCCCCTCAGGTGCAGGGACTATCCTCTGCCACAAAAAAACAAAGGAATTTGTACAAGCCTTGCACCTTGTTAGGAAGCCTATAGATCTCTATTGTCTTCTCCATGGCACTACTTGAATCAATGAGAATCAACTTCTGACCAATCAGCATCATACCTTCCAGTAGCATAAATTACTGTGACGGTTTTAAATTTGGCATTCTTGCATTTGTCCAATAAAGTGCTGGGGGAAAAGCTTTGCAGATTGTCTCATTTCAGCAATGTTCAGTTTCCATATTACTAAGCAACTGAATGTAATTTTACAGTTATTGCCTGAACTGTTGCTCAGTTTATGAGGTACATTTCCTAATGCATTCATACTGCGTCTAATAATTTGAGGACAAACTCCTTGTATCTTTAATGGCACTGACTACTAATATTCATTTTGCTAACCAGGTTGCCTTGGTTGGTCCTTCAACAATTCCTGATGCTCATGTGGCCACAAATGATGGTTTCCTCTTTCTTAAAGAAGATGGCTATTTACAGTCTGGTATATCAGATGTGGTTAAAATTAGAAGTAGCTTTATTGTCAGACATACTCACATGAGTACAGTGAAAAGTTTATAAGTCGCCACTTACAGTGCCATCATAGGTGCAAAGGTACCTAGCTGCCGTTTCTTAAGTACAAATTCTTAGGAAAATATTAGAAAAGTATAGAAATAAAAAGTCCAGCATTACAGAATTTTGCGCCATCTTAGGTACAAAAGTACAAAACCAAAGGAATAATTTAGATAAATAAAGAAATAAAATGTTCAGAATGACAGTCTTTCCAGCCCAGTTCGCACCGGCACCTAGCGTCCAGACCTTGCTGAAGCCAGGATGTCCGTGTTGAGACCGAGAGTCCGCACTGGCTTCACCTCGAAGCCGGGAGCATACGCTGACTTTACCTCGAGGCTGGGAGTCCGCGCTGAAGCCACGAGTCCACACTGAGGCTGGAACTCTGTACTGGCTTCACCTTGAGGCACTTGAGGCTGGAGATCTGTGCTGGCTTTACCTCAAGTCTGGGAGTCTGCTCTGTGGCCGGGAGTTTGCGATGACTTTTGTCAAAGCTGAAGAACAGGAATTAGGTAAGAAGAAAGAAGGAAAGAAAGCTCAAAAAGAGAAAAAAAAAAGAAATGAAATGAACAGAGCGGAAAAGCTCGAGCTAAGAAGTCATACTCCACCGCCATCTTGGATTTGGAATTGTATTCCTGTGCTTAAAAAAAAAACTTACAGGCTTTGTTGGGTCTGCATTAGATATCTCCACAAAGGTTTTTTTTTAATTCTTATATATTTTTTTTCCTTCCACCAGGTCTTTGAAGAGAGAGGAGAGTTACTTGGGAAATGGGTAAGAAGTTCATTTGTTGGTTTGTAGATTAAAAAGTTTTAACTTGAATCAAAACTTGATTAACAGGTCCTTTGGCAGCTCAGAAAATTTATCAATTGAGTAAACAAACAGTGCAGACCAGCTGAACCCCACTGTTGATCTCAGTCAGGGAGGGGTTTTGGAGTGCTGCTGTGGCCAATAAAACAATGCTTGATATGAATAACTTCATCTTGCTCAGGCATTTAGCTTGATGTAAATATTGTAATTTAAGACTGTTTTGCTATTTCATTTTAAACTTGGAGAGGTTAAATCAAAGATAGCTGCCTAACCAACTAGAATTAGGAAGCAACAGACAAACACTCAAATGTCTTTCCGAGAACTAACTTAAACTTTTTTTTGTCTTTATCCACAAGAATTAGATATGGAAAGCTTCTTAGGTGAATGCATAATTATTGACTATCATACCCAAAGTCAATTGAAAGTCAAGTAATCTAAGTTTTCTAGTTAACCACAACTTTGCTACCTATGTATCCAGGTTCTAAATGTGAGCAAAAACCTAATATTCCCCTATCTCTGCAATACCCATTCCAATGCATGCCTATTGTCTCCTCAACGTTATTGCTCAATGCTTATTCATTTTCCTTAAGTATCCGTGGTCTGCTAAATATTGACTGACCTGAAAACTCTACCTTCTAGATGACTCACTCTCCATCTGTGTCCTTTCACTTCTGACTCCTGCAATTAGTAGTACTACTGGTACAGCAGTAGACCCAGGAGAAGGACTGTCACTGCAGAGGCAGCCCTTTCCACTGGCAGGTTCCTGTTTGGGCACAGTGTACCCGTGAAGGATATACCCATGGCCTACAGGATGCAGGCATGCAGGTTGGAGGTGCAATGAGACCCTCAAGTGTGCCTTGCCCCCCCCTCCCCAAACCAATCCCTCACATTTTAGTTTGGTGAACTTGGGAAGGTGATGTGCACTCAATCCTGTAACCTCCTGCCCCGTCATGTGGCCAGTCTCCCTTTCAGCCCACACCCAGAATAGGAGTTAAATTCCACTCATCTTGTCTCCTCCCAGTGTCTAAGCATACTTTCTAACTGCCTCTATTTATGCTTATTTTAGTGTACCTGAGAGGCATGTTACAGGAGGTGACTAATTCCATGCTTGAACCAAAAGTCCCTCATTACTGAATAACCTGTATATCATGATAGCTCAGTCCTCGGAAGAACCTACAGTGGGCAGCTTCTCTTGTGTGGCTGTCTGGACAACCCAGCCCATCTCCTATGTGCTCTTCAAGTTTGTTTGTGAAGGACTAATTCAGATGCTTTCTAGTCCCAGGTGCAAAGTGGCCATGGATCAGAAGGGTGGGAGATCTGATGGCCAGAATTCCAAAATTTTTAATACCTCACTGCTTGGTTTCCAGGGCTGCGTTCTGCTACTAAGAAGCCAGCATCAACTTATTATAAATAAGCTGGGCAATTGCAGACTTCAGCAAAGCTGCCATTTATTTCACCGATGTCTGCAACAAGGTCTGCTTTTCTAGCATTGCTGTATATGACAGCAGTGAAGCCCACTACAATCCCTGCCATCTGCTGCACCCGGTGACAGGGCATTTGCCCCTTGTGAATCATTATTAAAGAAGTACAAAGATGTTTGGTGGGGGCACATGTCACTGCAGTGACCAGACAAACTCCTTTCCAGGTCCGCGGAAATCTGGGGCCTCTATAGGTGAAAGTAGTCCTAGCTAGTCATGAAGAATGGGCTGATTGTGAATTAGTGTCTCATTGTAAACTCTGCCTAACCTAATTTTTCATTGTCTTCAGGCACAGTATAAATTCACTATTGCCATAAACAAATTTCACCCCTCTGTTGCTGCATCCTAAGTGCCTTTCCATGTCTTGCCACATCTGTGAATGTCTCTCTTACTATTTCTGACCCCTGTGTATAACAATCCCAACAAGAATAAGTTCAGACAGGTTGCATCTGTAGCTGAAAAATACCCACAGGAATTCACATGTTAATGACATTCCCCAAATGAGAAACCACAAAGACAGATGTGAAGAAACTGGAAATATTACATTGGAGAGTAGGTTGTTCTTGGCTGAGATTTAAGATGTAGAACTTAATATTAACATAGAGCAAGCTATTATCTGACCTGTGTCATACCATGCCCAGGAATGTACTAGTTTCAAAAATAAGCAATAATGTCTTAATTAATGCATATGGATGAACAAATAAATACATGTACCATCACTGAATCAGGCTCATATATGTGGCTACTCATTCTTTTGTTTTATTTCTGCCTGGATGGAGCCCGCACAGCCCCGCGTGCTCTCAAAAATCATTATCTTCCACTGAAGGATTGCAAACTATCATGACAATGCCCTTCTCTGCCGTTTTACAAGTCTTAACTCATCCATTTCTTTCGCAATGACACAAATTGTTTCCTCTCTGATTCAATTATAAACTACTTAGTTCAAAACTAACTTGAATTTATCTTTAATGACCATTCTCGGGTGCTTCACAGCTGGTGGAAAGTGGTTGACTATGCAGAAACTAGAAGAAAAGGTGAATGATTGTGTGATAGAGTGGTAATTGTGATACTGAGACTAAGCAGAAGTCGGGGGGAATCATAGAATTGTACAGTACAAAAGCAAGATATTGGCCTATTGTATCTGTGTCAGCTCTTTGAATTAACAGCTATTCAATTATTCCAATTAATCAGCAGAGCAAAAAATTGTGCTTGCATTTGCACAATATCTTTCACAACCTAAGGATATTTGAAAGATTAGGGCTGGTGATTGAAGAAATTGGGGAAGGACGAGACCGAGAAGAGACTAGAAGATGAGTTAGAGTATCTGTCTCAAGGTGTGGGGGGCAACTTAAGATACAGATGATGAGGAGGGACAGTGCACCTCAGTGTGAATAATTATCCATGGGTTTTGACCAGGCCAATATTTCTTACAATGAGTATTGCTAAAGTAGAAAAAGATTTGAATAGAAAATGGTAGGGAGAGGTAGATGTGGCAATAATGTTGAATGATCTCAGAAAGGAAGGTACTTTAAATTTGAATTGGTAGGTAGGGAAGGTGGAAGGATAGATTGTGAGCTTTTTAGGGATAGGGTGAATTTTAAGAAAAGGTTAAGGGTGGTTTTGTTAAAAAGGAAATGATATGTTAACAAAATGGAAATGTTGACAATTTGAAAAGTTGTCCACACAGTTTTTGGAAATAACACATTTGTATCCCAAAATGCAATAAATGATTCAATTGTCACACAGCCAAAGAAACATGGAAATCAACCAGCATGCAAAGACGTGAGTAAAGAACTGATCAGGAAGAAGAGACAGCACAGTGTGGAGCTGGAGGAACATAGCAGGTCAGGCAGCATTAGAGGAGCAGGAAAGTTGACGTTTCGGGTTGGGACCCTTCTTCGGGTGTTCCTCCAGTTCCACACTGTTGTCTCTGACTCCAGTATCTGCAGTTCTTGCTATCTCTGGTCAGGAAGAAGTTGAGGTATCAGCTGATAGGCTTTTTGGAAGTATTAAATCCAGTAAGAGCTTTCCTAAAAATGAATTGCACTGGAATACTTCTTGATAATTGACCATAGCCCTTAACTAATTGGCCATTTTCATGTGTGGACCTGAATATTGACTCTTGGTGGGCTATTCAGCTGCAGGGAGGGGTCTTACAGTGACCACATTCCAGACGATTGATCGCAAAACTTGGCATTTTAGTACTTTGGTGTCATGTGTGCCTTTTTGGCTCCAAAACAGCATCCACAATATGGTGCATCTGTTAAAACTATGCAGACTGGACAAATTGTGACATTAACCAGAGCTTATACTAATTAGACACTAGTGGTGCCATTTTGGATTTCAAAGCTCCAGCTAAGATTGTTTCCTCAACATGCAAAAGTAATCCTCTCCTCTCAAAAGTGTTTTTTAAACAAACATCTATTACTTTCCGGGAAGCTGTCAATTGATTTCTGATGCCTTATGCTGCAAGTGCAAACATATTTGGTAGTTTCTGGAGTTTTTTTTAAAGTCGATAAATCATACAGAACAAAGCAGGTCAAAGCAGCCTGCTTGATGTACTCAAATATTCCCTCCCTCTACCACTGATGCTTTGTCGCAACAATGTGTACCATCTACAAGGTACACTGTAGAAGTTCACCAAAGATCCTTAGACAGTCCCTTCCAAGCCCATGACCACTTCCTTCTAGAAGGATAAGGACAGAGCACATATGGTAGCATCACCACCTCTAAGTTCCCCTCCAAACCACTTACCATCCTGACTTTGAAAGATATTGACATTTGGTCATTGTTGCTGGATCAAAATTCTAGAATTCTCTTCCTAACAGCATTGTGCATGTATCTACAGCACATGGACTTCACAGGTTCAAGAAGGCAGCTCACCACCACCTGTCAAGTGCAACTAGGGATGGGCAATAAATTTTGGTCCATTCAGTGACACCCACTTCCTACGAGTGAATAAAAAAAAATCATGGCGTGGCATACGCTAAAGAATTTTGTTCTGCCTTTAAGGAACCTAAAAACTACATACTTCCAGAAATGTGCACAGCAATAGGTATTCTCTTTGGACTGCAACATGCCAAGGGAATGAGTAAAGAAAAACAGATTAGGATAAGCGGCTGGTTGCATTGGAGAGGGGAGAAGGATTCTCAGCAGGAAGCCCTGTCCATGCAGGGTATCAGAGAACAATTCTCTGAACTGAACCTCAGCAAGGAGCAACGTTTCAAATATCTCCATTTCACAAAGGGCATGTTAACAAAGGTCTTCCATCTCCTGTTGCCTCAGAGCAGAGTGAGGATTTTACTGCAGAGGCTACAAAGCTGACTGTGGCTTTGAACCTTTATCTGTCATGTTTCTTCTAGGTGATATTTGCAACTTCTACCACTTTGCCATTCACATTACATAAGAGAGGTGACTGAGGTTCTGAATTCCAGGACAACAGAATACTTTGCAAGAATCAAGAGCAAGAAGCACACAGCATTGCAAGGATTACAAGCATCCACAGTAGCAGGATGCCATTGACTCATACGTTGCTTTTGGAGGCACCACATGTCAACCATGAAATATATTGCAGCTGGAAAGAATTTCACTGCCTTGAGGTCCAGCTAGACCTACCATACTGTATCATATAGGTCCGTATCCTGCCAGCAGCAATAATGTATTTGCTTTGTGGCACTCTGCTGTGCTGTCTGCATTTGATCCACCATGACAAACCAGAAGATGACTACTGTGTGATGATGTCTATCACTTCACGTAATGGCCACTGTATGTGGGCAGCATGCCGCACAAACTTTGATGGAACAGACTATTGGCACATCTGCAGGAGCCCTCCAATACTTGGAAGGGCAAGATTCACAATAGCCACATCATCATTTTGTGTACTCTACTTGAAGCCATAGTAGTCTTTCCATGTCTCTTTATGTTGTCAGTTTTCTTATTTGTCTATAAATATTTGCTAAGTAGAATGGAGCTTGAGCATTATTGAAAACAAAATATTTATCTTACGCTGATTAGGACAGTCATAAGAATACTGAATTTAAAAGGGAGCAACAAATTATACATCATGAAAAATTCTGTTAATTGGATGGCAAATCAATTCTGATTGGTCAAGATGTCGCCATGGGAGTACATCAGGAAAATATTGTTTTCCATGCCTATGTTTACTTCGGAAAAGGTAAAATTCCTGGACACGTGCTTTCTGGTTGCAATGGATAGGACGCTGTATATGAGTTAATGTAGCTTTGAATGAGCAAGTGTAAATGAGCCATATTGTAAGCCCAAATGATAGTCTCAAGTTGGTTGTTGATGTTATTCTTAACATGCACAGGATTGTTTCCCAAGTGTTATCCAAGTTACAGAATCCCATCTGATTTTAAACAAGACATTCTGCCCACCAAACAAGTCAGTAATGTAGTACATGAATTTTAGTGGCAATGTAATGCCATGTATGTAGATTGTATATCCTGACAACTGGGCAGTGGTATCGGACAGGAAATCCCGTTGGCAATTTGCAATAGGCAGTGTACTGAACATACTCAACCAGCCCATGCTTTCAAAAGTCAAAATGTAATGTTTAGTGTAAGGCCCAAGTCTCACATCCAGACAGATCAACATTCCAAATTAAACTTTTTACAATTGTTTCTTGAGTTGTTAATTCCAATTAGCCACCATCTCTTCTTACCAAATATAACCTTTCCCATTGCTGTCGTTGCTCTTAGTTCTTTGTTGTACTTTCCAGCTGCAGCTATTATGTTTCCTAAATACTTGTATTTATTGACATATTCCAGTTCTTTGCCTTCAATGAATATGTGAATATTTCTTTGTGATTTTGAGATGTGTTTCATTTTAGTTTTGTCAGTGTTCCCTTTTATTCCAAGAGGGGAAGAGCAGGAAGACTATGATGAAGAAGAAATACAGTCACACGAACTTGGGCCACCTACTGACACATGCAGCACTCAATAACTCATTTAGTAATACCTGTAACCAGCAACATACAAAATTAGAAATTAGCACAAAATTAGCATGCTACATCCAGTAGAAGCAATGCAGTTGGGTTAATTATACACCATAATCCCAGCAGCGCCCCCCCCACCAACTTTTGTATAGGCTCTAATGGGTAAATATTTGTCCCTATTCCAATGGTTGAGAAACCAGTGGTATTTGTAGCATGCCTTTCATGCCCTGGCTGAAATTGTTTCACTCAACACAGACTAGGATTAGCTTCAGGATTAGCTGAATGTGAATTTGATCTTGAAACAAATCTAGCTCTCTCCCCTGGGTGATATTACGAGTCTGAGCTAGTCCATCATATCTAGTTGTACAAATTAGGTAGCAGATTCTGATACCTGTTTTCCCAGTATGTGCTACAGAAACACAAGCTACTCAAATGGTTATGGCCTGAAACTCTCGGTGGTCAGTTCAACTTTTTAACCCTCAACCAATACACTTGTGACTTTCATGAGCTACATTTCTGTTTTGTTGAAGATCTGGCAATGTTCTTTAACATGCTCTTCAGAAGGTATTATTTCTTTATGCTGCAATATATCCCGCCTTTATAATATGAAATTTTATTTCTCCTTTACCTCCTCCTGTCCTGCAGGTGTTGACTCAAGCTCAAAAGTAGACACATGCCCCTCATAAATCACTCATATGGATGTATGTGTTCGAATAGTAAGAATTGGAGGCCTATTCTACAGATTCACTGAGTGACCATGTACGGACATTGCCAGCAAATAGTAACACACACAAAATCCAGCCATTCTTTATCCATTTCCTCATTCACAATACTGAAATCACTGTACTAAATCTGAGTCAACCTGCTGCATTTGACTAATGTGCTTTAGTTCAGGGAATAAATTGAACTTGTTACAACGCAGTGTATTTTCCTGTCAAGTGAGTCCTCAGGATTGTTGTACTTTGTCTTTGTCTTTATTACTTATCCCAAGGATTCATGTCTTCTTGATTCTCAATTAACTGAGGTACCATATGAATGTTTTATCATTGCACACACCTCTTAGTGGTCTCTGTCAAGCTAACCCATCCTCTGAGGTGCAAGTTTCATGATATGGAATAAGCAGAGGTAGAAGCAGCAAGATGATTTATCTACAAAATACAAAGTCAACAAGCAAAATAAACTATTGACAAATTAAGTCCTTTCCAGAACAAATCTAGTTTTAGTCTCTATAAAATTATGATTACATTTATAATTTTTCCAATTATTGCATCTTCAAAAAAATTACTGGTTGATTTCCTGTGGCTTTGTACATGAGTAGAGGGGCAAATAGAAAAGGCTCAGGAGAGGATGAAGGAGAGAGGAAGAGGGCAAAAGGAGGTGAGAAGTGGCTAGGCTGAAGACAGAGAGGAGACTAGGGAGAAAGACATTAAAGAGAAGAGTAGATGTGGAAATGAAGAGAGGGAAGACAGGTGAAAAAAAGAATTGGAGGAGAGGGTGAGGTTAAATGGAAGGAAGGTGTGCAGTGGCTTTGTGGGAAATGCAAAGGAAATGAGTAGAGAAGGTGAAGGAGTATGGGAAATAAGGAAGTGTGGAAAGGATGGATTATAAAAGGAATGCACAGAAATGGATCAGGAGTGATGTGAATGGAAGAGAGGAGAGGGAGGAAAGGGTGGAAGACCAGACTGACAGAAAGGAAAGGTGAGAGATGATGAGAATGGAAGAGTGAAAGGAAGCAAAGTGAAGGGCACAGTGAAGGCTCAAAACTTTTGATGTATGACATCTTGGCATTAGTAGTGATGCTGCCATGCATGTAGTATATTAACTGTGTTTTTACTTTCCCTCATTTTCTTATTCAGTTTGACAAGTGGACTGATGCACAGCGACGAAAAATTCTTCTCAACTTGTTTGAAAGATGTTCTATCTCTCAATTGAAATTCTGTGAGCAACATTTGCGTAGCAGAGTTCCTGTAGAATCTCTTGACTTTGCTTGTTTCCTGCCCAGAGTGCTGACTTTATATATCTTCTCCTTCTTGGATCCAAGGAGTCTTTGCCGCTGTGCACAGGTAACAAAAATCAGAAAGTTTAACAGGCTGCCTTTACCAGCAGAAGGAATACTGTCTGTGGTTCCTTACAGCAGTAACCATTCCCATACCAGCTGAGGTTACCATGAAGGATTCTTCTCAACCTCTCTCCTCACCTGAGGCATAGTGACCCTCAGGTTAAATCACCACTAGTCATCTCTCTGTAATGAGAAAACAGCCCAATGGTGCAGTAGGACTACGGCGACTTTACCTTTTTAACAGTAAACCCAATTAAACAAACAGTTTGTGAAAACAAGGTGTAGAGCTGGATGAACACAGCAGGCCAAGCAGCATCAGAGGAGCAGAAAGGCTGACATTTCGGGCCTG